TGCTCCCTCCCTTATGTAGAAGAGCTATGTCTGCTACTTTAAGCGCATCTGGTATCTCCCCCGTGCCCAAGCTCTTCCTCCACACTATACTGAGTGCCTGTCCTACTGGTACTTTGCATTTCTTTATAAATATTGAATTCCATGAGTCTGGACCTGGGGCCGAGTGCATGGGCATATTTTCAATTTCTCTTTCAAAATTTAGTGCGCTCGTGTTTATATCAATTATATTTACGGGGGTTTGAATATCCCGCATATGGTTGATACCTGGTTGATGGGGTTCTGGGAGTTCTTCTACTCCCCAAGCCCGGCCCGAGGCCAGGCTCGACTTGTGAGAGTTTGGTCCACCAGGCTGTTGCTTGGAGCGGCCCGCAGGCCCACATACCCACCACAGCCCGGTTGGTCCGGCACTCCTTGGAGGAATAAATCTAGTTTCCTCTTGAAAATGTCCACGGTTGTTCCGGCAATATTTCTTATGCTTGCTGGGAGGACGTTGAACAACCGCGGACCTCTGATGTTTATACAGTGTTCTCTGATTGTGCCTATGGCACCTCTGCTCTTCACTGGTTCTATTCTACATTTTCTTCCATATCGTTCACTCCAGTACGTTGTTATTTTACTGTGTAGATTTGGTACTTGGCCCTCCAGTATCTTCCAGGTGTATATTATTTGATATCTCTCTCGTCTTCTTTCTAGTGAGTACATTTGGAGGGCTTTGAGACGATCCCAATAATTTAGGTGCTTTATTGCGTCTATGCGTGCCGTATATGTTCTCTGTATTCCCTCTATTTCAGCAATCTCTCCTGCTCTGAAGGGGGAAGTGAGTACTGAGCAGTACTCAAGACGGGACAACACAAGTGACTTGAAGAGTACAACCATTGTGATGGGATCCCTGGATTTGAAAGTTCTCGTAATCCATCCTATCATTTTTCTGGCTGTCGCAATATTTGCTTGGTTATGCTCCTTAAACGTTAGGTCGTCAGACATTATTATTCCCAAATCCTTTACATGCTGTTTTCCTACTATGGGTACATTTGATTGTGTTTTGTACTCTGTATTATGTTTAAGGTCCTCATTTTTACCGTACCTGAGTACCTGGAATTTATCACTGTTAAACATCATGTTATTTTCTGATGCCCAGTCGAAAACTTTATTAATATCAGCTTGAAGTTTTTCAATGTCCTCAGCCGAGGTAATTTTCATACTGATTTTTGTGTCATCTGCAAAGGATGATACGAAGCTGTGACTTGTATTTTTGTCTATATCTGATATGAGAATAAGGAAAAGCAGCGGTGCAAGGACTGTACCCTGAGGTACAGAGCTTTTCACTGCACTTGGACTAGATTTTATATGGTTGACAGTTACTCGCTGAGTCCTGTTTGACAGAAAACTGAGTATCCAGCGTCCTACTTTACCGGTTATTCCCATTGACTTCATTTTGTGTGCTATCACGCCATGGTCACATTTATCGAAAGCCTTTGCGAAGTCCGTGTATATCACATCAGCATTCTGTTTCTCTTCTAATGCCTCAGTGACTTTGTCGTAGTGCTCAAGTAGCTGTGAGAGGCACGATCTTCCCGCTCGAAATCCAGAAGTAGAAGTATGAGAAGAAATATTTTGGATTTTTCTTTATTTCCTGAATTGCTTTCTGTTCTAACTGCCTTTCTTCAGTTTCATATGAGTGTTTCAATTTCCGCTCGATTTCTTCAATCTCCCTATTTAAATTATTCCTTCTTTGACGGGAAATTCGTGTCTGCATAAGCAGTTCCGTTATTTTTTTCCTGCGTTTATAGTGTCGTCTGCGTTCTCTTTCTACGTTAGATCTCTTTCTGGCTTTCCTCAAAGGAACATGTTTCAGACAGACTTGATACGCTTCTGAAGTCAGTTTTTCTATTCCTTCTGTAGGACTTGTATTACTTACAACAGTTTTTCATGGAATGTTTGTAAGTTCCCTGTTTATTATCTTCCAGTCTATCCTTTTATTATTAAAATTGAATTTACTGAATAGCCCCTCTCGCTTTATCAACGTTTTAGGTCTATTCTGAGTATTGATGGTCGTTTGCACTTCAATGAGCTTGTGATCTGAGTATGTGGTATCTGATATCGTAATGTCTCTGATAATGTCTTCATTGTTCGTAAAGACCAGATCTAGAATATTTTCATTTCTCGTTGGCTCTGATATCTGCTGATTGAGTGAAAATTTGTCACAGAATCTAAGTAGTTCTCTAATCTGTGGTTGGTTAGGTCCTGATAGATTTCCTGGTATAATATTATTGTTTGCTATTTTCCAACTGAGACTAGGCAAGTTGAAGTCACCTAGGAAGATAATATCAGGTATCGGGTTCTCCAAATTATCAAGGCTATTCTCTATTTTGTTTATCTGTTCTGTGATTTCCTCAGCCGTTGCATCTGGCGGTTTGTATATTAGAATAATCACTAAATTTATTTTCTCTATTTTCAATCCCAGTACCTCTACCACCTCATTTGTAACGTTTAGGAGTTCCGAGCATACAAGGTCTTCCCTAACATACAGACCCACTCCTCAATGTGACCTAATTTTCCTATCACACCTGTATAGGTTATATCCTGGAATCCAGATCTCACTGTCCAACGATTCCCCTGCATGGGTTTCTGTGAAAGCTCCAAATATTGCATTTGACTCCGTGAGGAGGCCATTTATGAACTGTACTTTGTTGTTTGTTCTTGTTTTCAGTCCTTGTATGTTGGCAAAGATGAATGAGGTTACTCTATTAGTGATAGTTTGAATGGGAGACTTTTTCGGCGAGCCCATTATGCGTGGACATAATGAGTTTGTTCTGACCAGTACTGATTGTTGTAGGGCAGTTGCCTGTCATAGTTGTAGTTCACTTTCGGTGTGTAATTGTATCTGTAATTCTGGAATGCAAGTGGATCTGGCATCCAGTTCCATACACTCTCCATGCTGCTCCTTTTGAATTCTCTGTCGGTCTGGTATAAAAATTTATAGAGTTTCCTCCAAATTCATCCTGCTTGCCACTCTTTATGTAGCGTTCCGTTCCTTTCACGTGAAAGTGTGGGCAGCTGAGGTCATAGTATTTTCTGTCCTCCAGTGAGGTTTGGCACATGTCAGGATGGAAAAACCTACATATTGATCCAAATCGACACTCACCTTTCCTAAGCATATTTAAACATTTTTTGGGATGTTGGTAACTGCATTCTAATCCTTTCTTATTACCAGCATATCTATGTCTGCATATGCCCTTTGCATAAAATTTGCATAAGTCTGTCCTTCTGTTCTGAATTGCTCTATCGGGAACCGTCGTGGTGTCTGTACCTATCGAGCTGTCAGTGCTGTCTGGTACACTTATACAATGTCTACAATGACATTGTAGACATTGTCCTACAATGTCTCCCTCCATTGTTTTGACAGCATGTTTAGCAGTAAACACCACACAGTATTCAATTATGAATGAACTTTTAGGTGCAACTTTTATATCTCGTAGTAGAGTTAGCGCCATTTACCACTCACAATCGGAAATCCCGGGCAAGATACAAATGGTTGGGCACATTTACTCTCACCTAATGCCTCTGTTCACCTAACAGTTAATTGGTATCTGTGAGTTAAGCAGGTTGTTGAGGGTAGCATCCTGGGGAGGGTCAGTAGCTCCACCTTGCAAGGCCTGGAAACAGGCCCAACATACATATATACATACACAGGTTTCTGTCTCTGACAAAATTAACACTTTCGCGCTTTGGTGCCGATTACGGTTGACAACTATTTTTCTCTTGGTTCCGCTTGCGTGTACCCCACCAGCGTCCAAAGAAAAAATATTTGTATAAAATCCAATTATTATCCGATCTACTTGGGGATAGTTTACAAATGTTTGCCATGAAATTTACGCTTTCTCTAATAGCCGAACAGCTTATTTAGGAGAACGGCGCGGCAGTGATTCATCGAGGTAAAACAATTGTGTTATTGACGCGACGAGTATAATCGACTTAGTTTTTATATATGTTGCTGATCGAACGCATCCTTGTGTGACCTTTTATACTTATGTTCTTCTAGAACATTCTATTGCGAACACATTGGTACAAAAATGAAATACGTACATCGAAAAATAATGTCAAGACAGTGAATTGAATATACACTTTTCAATGCAGGTTTCGCCGATATGCCGCCGCGGGTAACACTTTGGCGACTTCCCACACTGTTTTGGGTGGGCTGCAACATTGATTCAATATTTATATGCATATGTCCGTGTAGAGAATTTTATTGTGATTTCAGTGATACCAAAATTACCGCTGTAGCACAACTGTGGGCTTCACAACCATGAAGAGAGTGGAAACATTTTGTTGCTGTTTGGCCCTCTCGGCTAGTAATCTCAATAGTTTTTTTATTTAGTGCTGATATGCCTTATGCTTTGGTGGCATTTTGTAGGTATGTTCTTATAGACAATTCTATTGCGAACACAGTGATACCAAATTTAAATACGTATGCCTACAATTAGTGTCACGACAGTCAAAAGAGTATACACTTTTCGGTCTTACCGCTAAGACGCTCGAAACGCCGAAAGCACAAGGCAGATGTTTTTTTTTTCAGTACGCCGCAAGCAGCAAAGTGTTAATTAATTATTATGTGTAATTTCAAGTGCTGAATATAATATTGCTTTAACTCATTCTCTCCCTGACACTTGATATTCTCTGCACTATTACAGACCATTTTATAATTTATACAGTATCTATTGTATTTCATACATTGCATAACCTTAAGTGTCCCTATTTGTAATAATTGTAATTAGGCATTAGCTATAATTACTAAACAATTATTCCATTGACAAAGCTGTACATACCTCATAGCTCTTATTATTATAAGTTGTTGAGTACTGTACCTTGAAAAGCTGGAGTTAGCCATTAATAATACAGTATTATACTATGATATCATTACTCATTATTTACCTAACTTGTAACTCATTATATGTGCAGTGTTATTATAAACTATTACTAGAATGAATACATTCAAATACCTGAGGCAGGAGAGACATGGCTGGTTCTGTCCTTGTTAACACTGTCTGTTCCAGATATTGCAGACGACACTAGGTTTTGCAGAGCTTCAGATACTGGAGAAATTCCAATACCTCGTATCCCTCTACTTCCCAGTCCAATCTAAGAATTGAATAATGATAAATTAGTTTAATAAATTATTAATTAAAATATATACATGGGACAAAATATTTAATGCCAGTAGATGGCCAGGCAGTTATATCACCAGTTTATGAAGGAAATGCCACAGAATAAACATGTATACTATGATCTATGTTATATCCATTTTCGTTTTAGCATAATTACACAACAATCCTATAGCAATATACTTGGTGACCACAAATCCTTAATCCATGTGGCTATTCACTAGTTTATTATCTATGTAAATAATACCTTTGATTTGTGTTATTTCAGATATCATGCAGGTAACCAAGTTGAATAAAGGTGGAACACTGAATTCAAGTATACTGTATCATTTATCACCATTCAGTTTAATTTTTTCAAGTTGGTAAAGTCTACCTCGGACAAGCTATTGAGGCCCACTCGTCCTAACTTGACCCTAACATTATATTGTTAGGATATTGACCCTAATTCATCTACCGCCGCCAAAAAACGGCTGGCATTACACGTTTGAAGACTTCATTGCTGAGTGTGGGGCAAATGCTCCTAGAACTCTGGTGAACTGTGTATCACACACTGTTCATGAATTTATCGAGGATTGTACAACCCTTGAAAATGCCATACCTACATTACATTGTGTATTTGTGAAAACTCCCAACGAGATATTTGCTAGACACCTCTTAGTTACACGGTGGCAATGACTTAGTGAGATCCATTATGAGTTTTTGAGAGAACTATATTAACTCAATAAAGATTATAATTCGATACCAGTTACTGCCAAACGCTATCAGGAAAAACTCTTTCGCACTGCTTTCATCAATGACATTTCCTCACTACCCATCGTCAGCGTCTTCTGGAGAACAAGACGCTGGACTTGCAAAGTGCCTACATTAGGCATACAGTACTCCCTTGACCTGACCGAATGTACTGCTGATGCTTACTCTGCAACACATGCACAGACTGCTGCCATAGTTGTACCTGTGCAATCCCACCCAGAAGAAGATCTAGACCATGAGAACCATACACTAGCTACTCTCTACACTGTCAACAAGAAATGTTACTTCTGCAGTGGTGGTGTTTCACATCAGAAACAAGTACCCAGCACATGATGCCACCTCTCATAATTGTAACAAGAAAGGACATTATGCTAAAATCTGTCGGTCTGAAATATCTTTGAGTACAACTGTTACATTGCACAATCCAACTCTTCTTGCAGTCACAACTGTATTTCTGTAGAGCCTCTCACATGCAGCCACCAGTTACAGTAACTGGATACTAGTTGAAGGCGCTAACTGAGTCATGTAGCTCCAAAACTTCCGTACGTGAAAGCACAGCAAGAAAACTAACTTTGACAATGTATCCATTAGTTATGGAGATCTCTATAGCATCAAAGTCATTAAGCACTAGCTCTTTGGGGTTTCTAATGTAATTTTAGAGCTCAATGGGCAAATGATATTTATCTATCAGCGCAAATGTTATTTATCTATCAGCCTTGGGGTATTAAAAGACCGGTGTTGTGACTTACTTTTGGGCCAAGACTTTCTGAAACAACACACAAGTCTGACATTCGAGTATGGAGGACATAAACCACAGCTCATAATTGATGCCACTAATCAGTCTGCGTACTCTCAGAAACTTTGATGAATAAGATCTTTCCTAACCTGCCCCCAGGATGTAAGCCTATTGCCACTAAGTCCCGGCATTTCAGCAGGGATAGCCACTTGTTTATTAACCACTGCACTGCGCACCTGGTTTCTCCAAAAACTTCTTAGTGCAATTGTCAAGGACGTATCCTTGTCAAGGATACATCCTTGACAATTGCAATTGTTTTGTTGTTTTTTTATAAATGTTCAGGTAAAGTTAACCTTAAACTGCGCAACACGTCTGCAGGCTCGCGTCTGGTTTGCGCAACGCGCCTCCGGGTATTTTTATTTTTCCCGTTCCATTCAAAACTGGCGCGCGGTGATGCGGGTATGGTATGGGTGGGTGATCGTCAGCCACCCCAGTGATCGTCCGCCATCTTAAAAAAAATCCCAGCATGCCCTGCAGCCATGGGAAGCCTCAGTTTCACAGCAGCAACCATGTCTAACACATCCTCTACGAGCTCCCGCTCCACGGTGACCCGCGGTCATGGAAAACGACTCTCTGAGGAGGAAATACGCGATATTTTGTATGATGACGGTGCTCTGGATGATGACCTGGACTATGATCCAGAGAAAGACCTTACTCAGAGATCTGATACGAGTGAGGAAGAGACGGAATTGGAAGATGTGGCGAGTGTGTGTGGTACACGTGCCTTGCCCGGCCTGCCTCGCCGCCCTGGGTCAACACCGTTATCATCACCACCATCATGTATGTCCCCAGACGCTAGTAGTTTATTCAGTGATAGTACATGTGACGAATCTTTCTCGGGCTTCAGGACATTGGCTCCGATACGAGTAGTGTGGACCACCCGAGTGCGAGCAGCGGTGGTGTTACCAGGCGGGGTTTTGCTACCTCAGCAACACGCCGCAGCAGGCGGCAGCGTGCCTCACAGCATGTGGACAACGACAGTGGCCCCTCAACATCATTTATTCTTGGTAGGCCTACAGTACGTAAATCTGCCTCAGCGCCTAGCATACCCTCACACAGCTCCAGCAGAAGCAGCAGACGACGTAGCCGTAGTTTTGGTGCTCGTGGTGGTGTTGGCGCCAACACCAAACCCCCTGGTGTACTTGTGTGGGAGGATTGCACCACATTTGTCCCTCAAATACCAACATTTGATGATAGCGATTTTGGTGTTACACCATTATTCCCATATACTGGTGATGATATGGCAGACATGGAATATTTTCAGGCATATTTTGACAATGTATTCATGACGCATCTTGTGACTGAGACAAACAGGTTCGCTCACAGCCTCATAGACGAAGGCATTTTACCTGCCTCACGCCTCACACGATGGAAGGACACGACAATCGACGAAATGTACGTGTTTCTGGCACTCACCATGATGATGAAGCACTCTGAGAAAGCTGTCATCCAGGATTATTGGAGCAAAGACAGCCTTGTTCCATCGCCCGTGTTCAACCGGTACATGTCGCATGATAGGTTTCTCTTGATTCTCAGGTGCCTGCATTTCGAGAATAATGCAAATGAGGACAGACACGACAGACTGTGGAAAGTACAGCAGATGTTCAGTGACATGAGAGGGAAGTTCAGGGATTATTTTGTACCTGGACAGAATGTGGTTATTGACGAGTCGCTTGCACTGTTCAAGGGGCGACTGGCATTCAAGCAGTACATCCCATCAGAGCGGCACTGATTTGGACTGAAGTTTTTTGTGCTGTGCGACTGTGAGACTGGTATCGTCTTGGACATGATATTATATTCTGGTACAGACGTCGACATACCGGCTCAAGATGAACACGGGTTCTCTGGCAGTGTCGTAAAAACCCTGATGGAACCGTTGCTGAACAAGGGGCATGTACTGTTCACCGACAACTATTACACCAGCCCCTTGTTGACCAGATACCTCCTTGCCCACAACACCGGCGTATGTGGCACTGTGAAGAGCCACAGGAAGGAAATGCCAGTGTTCGGTATAGCTATAGCCGTGGGTGAGTGCCGTGGAGAAGCCGTTGTTGACTAGGACCTGCCTTACCCTACAGAGTTCTTCGTCGACTTGATTCCATTCTGAGCTGTGGCTGAGAGCACGGTCGACATATGCGTTAACAACACTCCTCTTGTACCTGTCTGGGCAGTCGCTGTTGGCATTTAGGCAGGTAGGGTAAGGCAGGTCCTAGTCAACAACGGCTTCTCCAATGGTTTCGTCGAAGACATCATAAGAAGGAAAGTGAAATGCCATGCAACCTCTAAAGAGACAAATAACACAACACCTATACCCCCTATTAGACTATTTTACAGGAACTTCTTTTCCACAGCTCATAAAACGGAGGAAAGGGTCCTGAAAGATATTGTTAATAGAAACGTTATCTCTACAGACAAAAATCAGAGGATACAACTGACGATTTACTATAAAACCAGAAAAACTGCCAGCCTACTCATGAGAAACTCTCCAGACACAAAACAGAACACTTTAAAAGAGACTAACGTCGTCTATGCCTTCAAATGCCCTCTTGGGGACTGTAAGCTCCAAAAAACCCAGTATATAGGCAAGACAACAACATCTCTTTCTAGGCGTTTAACGATGCATAAGCAACAGGGTTCCATTAAGGAACATATAATCTCTTCCCACAACCAAACCATCGCCAGAGAAATCCTAGTAAACAACACAGAAATCTTCGATAGATACAGCGATAGCAGGCGGCTTGACGTTTGCGAGGCATTACACATCAAGAAGTCAACACCAGCAATCAACAGCCAATTAATGCACAACTATATTCTACCCACCTCAAGACTCCGCTCCAATATAGAAGCATCAAGAAATATGGACCAATAGGCTTTCTACAATCACTTCTATTCAATACCCATTGTTTCATGTTCTGGCTTGTGTTGATGAAATTAATACCTTATTAAATACCACCTCACCCCATCCACCCCACTCAAATGTAGATATAAACAAAATCGGAGATGTGTAAGTTCTATTCACTTGTGTATGTGTTAACTAAAGTCTTTGAAAATGTAATAAGTTTTACGAAACGAGCTCAAGTGTTGTGTCAGACTAGAAATAAAAATGAATTTTGGAGAATTGATTTTTGAATTACCTCCAACAGTGAAAAGAAATGTACGAAAGATTGAGAAAATTCGTGTTAGAATTATTAATCTTACTTTTTCGGTCATATTTAATAAATAAATAAATAAATAAATATAAATATATATATATATATATATATATATATATATATATATATATATATATATATATATATATATATATATATATATTTTATTAAATATGACCGAAAAAGTAAGATTAATAATTCTAACACGAATTTTCTCAATCTTTCGTACATTATGCTTCACTGTTGGAGGTAAATCAAAAATCACTTCTCCAAAATTCA